ACCGATGTGCCCATCCTACTTCTAGCCTACACCGACCTAGACCGGACTGACTGACCGACCGGTACCGTTTCTGTTTCGGCCTCTCGGCCTCTACCAGACCCGGCTATAGGCTATAGGACCATCTATCAGAATAGGCCCTTAGGGCATGTCTGTCCTAGGGTAGCCCGGGCCTGCTATGCGCAGTTAGGTAGCTGTAGGGAAACCTGTTAGTACCGGGCCTGTATCTTTCCGGATTTGCAGATATGTCCCTCAAGAATTTCCCTCACAGGTAGGTCTCTCGGTTAGCCCTCAGCCAAACAAAATTACGAATCTGTCCTACCTAAAGTACAGCCTCGACAGAGAGAGGCTACAGGCAACCAGAAAAGAGCAAGTCATTGCAAACCTACCCTCCCCCGGAGCGAGGACCTCCGAGCTAGGGGCGTAGGCGTGCAGAGCGCCGAACGGGTTCCCCCTTCTGTGCTGCCTCATATTTGAGGATGACAGACTTGGCTGTCTTCAGGAGTTCTTTGCGAGTAAGCCAGCGATCTTCAGTGTGTGGCTGGTATAAGAACTTCACAAGATACTCCTTATCTGGACCTGTCCCTGACTCATCCTCCACATTTTCGACCTCATACCCTTTGTCAGGGATAGGAGGACCGAACTAGGGAGGCCTGTCTGGGAATGCATCAGCCGGCGTAAATGGCAACAGCTTAGATGCATGAAAGACAGGGTAGGTTTGTAGATGCAGAGGGACGTCCACATTGTAGGATGGTCCAAATGGATCATCTCCCACTGTATCTAAGACCTGCCATGAACCCATGTATCGTGGCAGCAGCTTAGGCAAAATGTCCTCCTCTCGTGACAACTCAGAACTGAGTACCCACACCCAGTCACCTGTGCGAATAGTAGAAGGACGCCCGTGCTTATTAGCCTGCTGAATCATAGCCTTTTGGGCTTTCAACAGGATAGCACGGGCACGCTCTATGTCCACACGGTAACACCTGGTGAATTCTGCAGTTCCAGGTGTCGGCGTAGGGGTAGCCTTATCGATGATGTCATCGAGAGGCTGCCGTGGTTCACGGCCACAGTGCAACCGGTAGGGTGTGAAACTAGTAGAGGAGTGTACAGACGTGTTATACACAAGTTGTGCACGACCTAGATGGAGATCCCAGTCCTGCTGATCTGGACTGATCACAGGATGCAGCAATTGGAACAGAATCTGGTTCATCACTTCTGCCTGACCATTGGCTTCAGGATGACGACCAAATGTCATATCCAACTTGGAATGAAGGTAATCTCTGCAGTAGGATTGCCATTCATTGCTGCAAACCGGGGATCTTTGTCACTGACAATAGAGGTGGGTGGTCCATGATGTGTGACCCACCTGTCAGCAAAAGCCGCTTGAACAGCTGGCACACGAGCCTCGACTGGTAAGGGGATGAACTCTGCATATTTGGAGAACCGGTCCACACATACCATAACCTAACGCATACCTCATGGTGTAGTCCTACCCAAGTCAGTGAAATCGATAGATACTGACTGTGCACGGGCGTCAGGGATAGGTAGGGGTTTGAGTAGGCCAAGAGGAGGTCGACGTACCACCTTATTCCTTTGGAATAACTCACAGTTTTCCACATAGTGCAGCATGTCACTCCTCATCTCCTTCCAGAAGAAGCGTTGCGACAGGGCTGCATAAGATTTGAGGGCACCAAAGTGACCACGAGCATCATGACACTCTGACATCAGAAGTGTCCTCAGCTTGCGGTCCTGAGGGATACACAGTCGCTCCTCACCTCTGCTGCATGTGTACAGTAGACCTGAAACCAGAGTATATCCTGGTTCAGAGGCAGGATCGTCCTGGAGATTCCTCACAATAGGCCCAAAGATCTCATTCTGGGGCAGCAACTGGCAATGGTCTGACGTGTCCTCTCCCCAAATGAGTGAGTAAAGGAGATCAGGAACAGAGCGTCAGGCCTACGAGAAAGGGCATCTGCTACTCTATTGTAGCAGCCCTTCTTGTGTCTCAGTTCAACGTCAAACATGTCAATGAACTGAATGTAGCGAGCAAGCTTGTCATTCAACTCTCCCTGGGACTTCATCCACTGAAGGGTGGAATGATCTGAAAAGATCTTGAAAGTGTTTCCAATACTTGAGCGCTGACACAAGAGCATACAACTCTTTCTCATAGGTGGAGTCTTGCAGCTTCGTGGTCTTGATTTTCTTGCTCATGTACTCAATGGGCTGCAGACCATTCCCATCATCCTGCTGAAGTACCGCTCCTACCCCATACTGACTAGCATTAGTCGTAAGCACAAAAGGCAAGGTGCCTGGCGCATTGCAAAGACCGAATGGCATAACCAGGTATTCATAAGTGCCATACCTGGTTTTGAAGGTTGTCTTGTGGACATCGCCTTCAGCCATCTCAATCTGGTGGTAGCCAGATTTGAGGTCGATCTTGCTGAAAATGGTACAGCCCTGCACCATGTCCAGCAGGTCATCAATACGAGGAAGAGGCTCTGTAGACTTCCTCGTGATCTTGTTGAGACCACGGTAATCCATGCACATCCTGAACTCACCATTCCCCTTTGGAACAAAGAGGACTGGTGCCCCAAACTCAGATGTGTTGGGTCTGATCCAGCCCTTGCTGGTCAGGGTCTCTAACTGTTTCCTGAGCTCTTCAAGTTCAGCAGGAGACATCCTGTAGACCCGGCCCTTGGGAGGGGCCGAGCCATGCAGGATCTCAATCGTATGTTTGGTTTGCCTATGGACAAGTCTAGTAGGCTCCTCCATAAGATCTGAGAAACTGTCCACAACCTGCTGAATCTGAGAGGGACAGGGAGCAGTCTCCACGTCAGTTTGTTTGACATAAGCCATGAACAGACGACCGTGGTCAGTCTGGCGTGAGAACCGCAAAAACTTGCGAGCACTCATGCAATAGCAATTGCTGGCCGGATGGTACTCGTCAGCGAGCATGCAAGGGCGATATACCCCATGCCGGTCAGGCAGCTCAACCCTAGGGATCTGCCAGTCGATCCTAGGATTGGTGGCACTCAGCCACGACATAGAGAAGACAAGGTCAAAGAGAACGTTGGGAAACACATAGAAGTTCAGGCATTGCCTGACTTCTCCCTGCTTGTCAAAGGACACAGGTAGGCCCTTGACAGCGGTAGTAATCCTGACTCTGGAGGAGTCTCCAATGCGAACCTCCAAAGGCTGTCGCAATTTCACTAACCTCTAGTCCAAGTGCAGTTTGCTGACTGCCTTGGGAGAGATGAAGTTGCGAGTAGCCCCACAGTCTAAGAGCCCTTTGATCTTGGCTCCCAGGATGTAGGGTCGAAGAAGGATGAGTTCAGACTTATGGTTTTTCTTCTCCTGAAAGGATAGGAAAAGATCAGCAATGGTCTGAGCATCGTTCTCCTTCCACGTCTCATCCAATTCAGAGTCTTCAAAAGTGAAAGACCCTAAAGATGCAACTCCTGAAAAGGAAGAACCAGCGAGAGAATGTGAAGATTCACCTCCATCAGAAAGTGAATCAGCACTGGCGGAAGGAGCTGCTGCTTCCACCTCTCTCTGCTCTAGTTTTTTGAACTAGAGCTGCATGTAGACCTGCGAGGCATGCTGGGAAAGTCCTTGAGGAAATGGTCACCCTCGCATCTCAGGCAGACCCCCTTATCCTTCCTCTTCCTCCAAACCGCCACCTAGATTTTGAGTGCATGCCAGGGGAAGGTGGAAGGATCAAGTGGGTCATCTGGCCAACGGACGTCTCGTGGTAAAGGTACTCTATGGGCACCAGGGGAAGAGGCACGTCCCTTCCCTTTCCCCTGTCTACTGATTGATGCTTTCTGGGCTGGGGCCTTGCCCTTTGTCAAGCCCATCAAAGCATCAGCAAGGGCAAGAACAACAAAATCTGCAGCAGATGATGATGCAGTCCCAGGTGGAGGGTTCCCACCCTGGGATGCTGCATCACTATCTGATCCCGATGCTGCAGCAGCAAACAGGGCACCCTTTCTCCTTCTTCGCCCTTTGGAGGAGGGCCCCTTCCTTCCTTCAGAAGGTGCTTCCTGGACATGGAGTTTAGACTCCAAGTCCAGGGCTGCTCTGCCAAAGGACCGCCAGTCCTTGTGGCCCCGAGAGAAAAGAGCAAGCTGGAATTGCTCAGGCGCTGCCCTTAGGAAATGAATGAGCAGATCCTGCTCACTCATCTCCAACCCAGGAGTCGATGTTAGACTCTCAAAGGTGGAATACAGTTTGGACAAGGAGCCATCAAACTTTTTCTGGCCCAGGCGCATAATTTTGTCTGCTGCCTTCCTGGCCTGCTCGTTGTTTGCAAACCGGTCCTGCAGGGCCTGCAGAAATCCAGCCACCCCCAGCCTCTGCGCCCAGTCAACCATCTTCATACCTTGCTTGCTGGAGGTGGAAGTGCACCATTTCAGTGCTGATCGCTCCAAGCGAGCAAGGATGGCTGACACCTTCACATCCAAGGTTCTCTGTGTAGCAACCCAGTCTGCCACATCCACCTTTGAGTCCTCACCTGAGAACATGGGTGGCGGTGTCAGCTTAGGCCGCTGAAACTCAAATGGTGACGAGGGTTGTGAAGCTGCTATTGATCTGGGTGTAGAGGGTGGAGTTGCAGGTCTGGATTGTGGGGTCTTTTGGGTGTCTGCTGCAGAAGGGCCAGGAGGTGGAGGAATAGTCTGAACAGGTGCAATCTGAAGATGTGTCGCGATGCTGTTCAACTGGGCAGAAATGTCACCCAGCTTTTTGGACAAAGCTGAATGACTGGTCTCCAGACTAGAGATCCGGTCATCCTAGTTACTGAAGTAGGACCGATGAATATCATCCTGTAAAAGGATGAATTCCGCCATATCCTTACTGACCTGACTGGTAGAACCGTTGCCCATGATCTTCTGCATGACTGCAATTAAGATCTTTCTCTTGGCCTCTTTCTGAGCAGCCTCTTCCTTCTTCTTGACCTTCACCTTTAGATTCTCAACTGCCTGGGCCTGCAAGCGGAGTTTCTCCTCTTGGGCCCGCAGTTCAGCCTCTAAAGGGTCAGGCGGCACAGGTGTTGCAGGCTGCACTTTGATTTGAAGCTTTACCTGGGGTGTCTCCCCAGAACTTTCAACTCCCTCAGGCACCGCTGCCTTCCCTGAGTCCGCCATTTTGCTCCCCACAAAATAGATAAATAAAAACAACCAAACACTGAAGACAGAACAGGAGGTAACAAGAATTGAATGTTCTCTACTGTACTGATACAATTGTTGTCACCTGCCTGCAGAGAGAAGACTGGTTAGTCTGAGCAAGTGACTGCTCAGTCTCAGCAGACCGCTTGAGGGTCAGGGTCATTTCAGAGTTGACTCAGGCAAAACCAATTTCACGATTTTTCCATCCTTGCCCTGACACAACAATTGCAAGCAATAATTGCAAATCCTGAATCAGCAACTGGCAAGATGCAGTCTTGGACTAATTAGTGTTGATTGGCAATCAGACAGAGTGACTAATTAGGGTTAGATAGACCTCCACTGATGACCAAGATGCAGCGATTTACAGGGTGTCCTATTTTTAGACTTACCCTACTGACCTCGACACTGTATGACCCTGTATGCCATACCCTGGGTATGGCGAATTACAGATTTCACTGTAACTGACTCAAATCATCAAATCTGGATGTGCGATTTTAGACACTGCTAAAATACTGAATTGCGATTTACCAGGGACTGACAGAACTGAATTCTGACGGACAGAATCAAAGTTATGACTGACCCTAGTCTAGCCTAGCTTTGGCTATGTCAGCGCAGAATTCAAATTTGCATTATCACTGACAGCAGACCCCTTAATCCACCAATTCACTGCATAGTGTGAATCGCAATACTGTAGAGCAGTCCCAGATGAAATATGAGCCAGAGGGAAGGTCAAACAGGGTTAGTAGAAGTCAAAGAAGATAGGTAGGGGAAGTTGGATATGGCTGTCCCACAGTCTGAATTTCGATTTTCAGCTGTCACCTGACAGACAGACCAATTTTCACTATTTTAAAACTAGCCCCAGAATCGCCACACAGGATGGAGTAAGGAACACACTTACTTCAAGGTCAAATCTGAGGAAGATGCATGAAACCCTGGCTACGGCTGACTAGTCAACCCCATCTCGCCACTTTCATCTCTTGACAGTATACAGTGGTCCCACGTACCAAATTGCCTCAAACTTGGTGATCGCAACCTCCTAGGATCACTTCCCTGATAATCGCCAACCTCCAGGTGAATCGCCAGACTATAATTAGCCTCTCAGAGCCTCCCAGGCCTCTAAGTGTCAATCGCCAGCCACTCCTGCACAATCCCAGTCAAGAGTGAGTCACCCTCTGCCTGTTGCTTCACGCCACACACTCACCACCATCACCCTCACTGACAACAACCCTGAAGATGATGAATCACCATGAAACTCAACTCCAGGATCTCGCCAGATGATGATGGGTGCTCCAACTCATCAATCGCTCTTGAGCCTGGATCCAATAGCTCTGATACCAACTGTTATGATTCTGGTTGTTCATTGCCTGAAGGCCAACACTCACTCACATAGACTTATGCACATGCCCATTCATACACAGAAGGAAGGGGAGAGGATAGGAGTATCACACCGCACGGGGAGAGATAGACACAGCGGAAGACTTGACCATGCGGGATGACAGGGTACACTGAAAGTGCAATTCACTTCACTCAATCCTCACAACCAGTCATAGAGAAAAGCCGAGCAGATCACATCCAGAGAACAATGAAACGGTGATAGTTCAAACACAGTATCCCACTGTTTATTAAACCCAGAGTCTTGACTTGTCAGGATAACTTCTGTACTACAGTGCGCTGCTTTGAAATGAGCAGCGCTTCACTCCCCAACCCTGGTTACCACCCGTAACACCCCCTCGAGTCCCTGAAACATCAAGCGCCACCCAGATACAGCCTCATGAGGACAGCGCCACCGTGAAACATGCCTCTTAGGCCAAGCGCCACTCAGAGGATGAAGAAGAAGACCAGCGCCACAGTATCTGATGATCACGAAGTGTCGAAAGACTTCCCGGATGGAAGTCTGCAGCGGCGCCACCAAACCCTGACAAGATGTCCCCTGAGATGAAGAAGCTGCAGCTATGGCTGCAGCGCAAACCCTCTGGGACCCCACTCCGGAGGAGGGT